AATCGTAGTGGCTTGTTTGGCCCGATAGATGTGTATTATGACTTGCCGTGTCTGTCGTGACTTGCGTACGACCTGGAAGCGTCTATGGTATGCGCCTATACAATATCATGCTCCATTCGTCATCCTACTGTAGCCGTCAATTCAAACGATGCAGTCGCCGGTCAAACGATGGAAGAAGCTGGAAGCGCGGGAAGCTACTCTGCTTCTCTATGCTCAGCCCGCGCGCCTCCGGCAATAGTCAGTCGTCAGTCTGCTGTCGTCAGAGTCAGTCGCCGCCAGAGCTCCATGTCACCTTGAGCTCTCTTCCGTCTCATTCCGGCCTAATGGTCCGATCTGCTACCACGTCGCATTATCCTTACCGGTATGTCTTGTTGTTGCTACCCATGCCTTAATCTCTTCTATACTTGTTTTCCTTCATTTCGTAATCATGTAATAGTTTTGTACATGTCTTATTCTATTCGTATAGTATAGTCAATATGAACAGTTAGTCAATAGTCTTCTGTCATGTAGCAATAACCAGTACACTATCGGTTCCATATTTATTAGGCGTCATCTTTACAACCGTAGCATACACTTAGTCTACTCATAAAGGGGGGTTAGGCCCAACAAGCCCGCAGCAGGCCGGCAGGCATCTGCCCCTCGCTGAGCATTCTAACAGCGCGACACAACCCCTCAAAGGGTGTGGGCCCTTCCAATACCCACGTTCTGCGTGGTCGGGTAGGTTAACCGCCGATGCATTACACCTCTCTTCCACCCGGTCACGACAGTGTCAGCCTACAATTCAGTGCTCTCGCGAACCTGGCACCAATTCACCGTCCCTGGCTTTATTGGCCTCTGCGGGAGCCGATCTTGGATTGAAGCCGAAGCCAGCGATCACTCGCCATCATAGATATGTAGTGGGTTAGGGATTTGCATGTAGACGAGGTGGTGAGTAACTCGATGGTGAAGAAAAGAAGCAGAACAACTCGATAAGAGCACGACCGTTTAAGTAACGATTTCTATGTTTTTTCGTCCTGCAGCATTGTTTTTCACTGAACGGCGGGCCTATGGCAGAGCTGGCTCGAAGTCATTGGAAAAAAGGAGGCGTCACTGAACCCATATTACTCTGTAGCTCCCCTCCCTTACAATTTTCTTCCGCGAAATAGGTACAAGGTTATTCGTCGCGGACCACATCACCCTCTCGACG